TGGTAGCCAGATTATGACAGAAGGCCTTCATCAAAGCCCTTGAAACAGAAACTGAATCTCCGATAGAAATCCCTTTTGCTTCTTCGGGTTTTGTGGGCGGTCCACGACGGGTGAGACAAGTGAATCATATTCCACATCACTTGAATATCTTCATATTCGCCACAACACTCCATGTCCTTGTAAAGGCCAAGTAGCCCTTGCCTTTTCTCTGCCATTATTGCCCATATCAGCATAGAAATAGAATCCAATAGCTTTAACTCGTATGCATTAAAGTGCCAAAACAGAAAGTAAAAAGGAGATTTACCTTGAGCCTTTGGCCTGAGATACACTTTGACCTTTAAAACTATACATTTCGTCGGAAAAACAATTGAACGTTTAAAGATAAGCCATCCTCTCCACTTCTCCATCTTTGATTCTTCAAGCAGCCTCTCTTTCTTTCCTACACATTATATATAAATACATATATTTGTGTGCTTCCATTCCTAAATTTCCCGCTACCCATTAAACTAATGATGGTGAGCAAAACATCTATATGCACCCGACAAGCAAGAAAAAGACAATTATCAAGACAGAATACATAGTCTCAGAGTATAAAAATTGTACTGTAAAGTAACAAATGCTTTACGATCAAGACAGATTTATCTAAGGTGTAAATCAATTAGTTTGAACGAATAAAGTTATATTCGTGTTTGATTATTTATTTTTTAAGGTGTTCATGGTTGTTTTGTATCCGTTTAAATTTTTAGTAACATGTTCTTTCATTTAACCTTCGTTGACATGTTAATTTAATGTTTTACAACCGACAATCTTTTACCATTTCATTTACAAGCTAAAGAAAATAGTAAAATTACACTAATCCTTAAGTTTCTTACAGATCACAGTTTGAACTCCAAATTTACCTTATGTTCAATTTAATGCTTACCTTCAACATATTTAAAATAAAAAAGAGAACCGAGTAAACAAGCTTATAAACAAATCGATAAACGTGCCAATAAAAAAATTATTTGTAGACATAAACAAACTGAACACACCTATGTTTATGTTCATTTATTTATTAAATGAATATAAAATAAATTGTTCATACTTATTTATTTAACTTAATAAACGATTAATTGAACGCTCTATTCATTTACACTCCTAGTTTTATCCCATGGAAATCACAAATAATTAGGATGCTTTGCTCCAAATAATTGGGGTAAAAAAACAAGTGAAAATGTGTAGTTAATGAAAAGAAACCAAGAGTGAGTAGGCAAAGGTGTTTTGGATTTTGCATTTCCCATGTATGCTTATACCAAAGATTCTGCATTAAAATACATGGAAGATAAGGGGCGTTGGGGCCATGCTCAGACGGTTGGTTGGATTTTCTTTCAGTGCTTTTGCGTGTCTCACCTTCAGCATTTTGAAATGGGGTTTATGACATAATGCATTGAACTTAAACAAAATCAAAATCAAGTGAAGAGTTTTACTTTAGCTTTAGTTTAAGCTAATTGAAGAAGATTAGTTGGAATAAGCATGGTGTCATTGGATCCTCTTGGCAATTGGCATCTCTGTTTTTTCAAATCTGCTTGGCGTTATCCTAAGAATGAAGAGTGAAGCATGTGATTTGCAAGCATTTCAGGTACACCATTCTCTTAACTGCTATCCATTACAACTTATCAACTTTATTTTTTTCACAACATATCTGCTCCTTATGAGTATCCAGGATGATCATGGGTCAGATTTTTTACCTACCCAAATATAATCTCATGGGTCGAATTTTTGACCTACTTGAATATAATCCCAGTATAATACCTCTTCATCTGTTACCTGACCCAATTTCAAGAAAATTCGATTAGATAAAAAATTAACTCGACTTTTACGATAAAATCTCTTATCAATCTGACCCAATATATATATATATATATATATATAATCTTGTTATAAAAGGTAAAACTTTTTTAGTTATATACAAATATAGGACGGTTAGATGAATGAAAATAGATAATTGAGATTATAAGTAAGCAATGTGAAAATATTTACTAGAATAAAACAAAGAGTCAATCTTAGTCATTTATTTTCACTCATCCAACGATCCTAAATTTATGTAAAACTAAAACGTTTTATATTGTGTATAAATGGATCCTAACCCATATATATTATCTCAATTTTATTAGGTAAAAGAGAGACCAAGTTAAAAAAATATAGATGGATGAGTACTATAACAATTACCCAAAATATATTAATATTTTTTATATTATTAATCTTAAAAAATCCTTCAAAAATCCAACGAAAACCATAACTTTCGAAAGGAATAAAAAAACTCAACCAAATAAAGTCAGGTTAGACCTTATCGCTACTTGTTTCATCCCATTTTCTTCTTACTTTGATCTGTTCTTCCTAATAAATATTATCAGAAACTACTAGTTAGTAGAATCACTTGAGTGCATAAGCCTAGTGTTGAATGAACATAAGCATTTCCATAGGAACTCAAATAAATTTTCTCAAATTGACCCATCAAATCGCAGGAAGTTCAAGAACAGAAAGACTAAAAGATCGGAAAAATATTGAATGGCCAACTAAAAGAATTCATATTCAATAAAAATCCAAGTATTCAGTAACTTTAAGCCCGGTAAGTCGGTAACACCACCAAACAGAAAGACTTAAATTGCAGGAAGTAAAACAACTCTAGCATCTTTAGAACAAATACTGCAGTCTGGATATCTTATGCAGAAATTTTAAGCAGCATTTTGGGCTGCAAGCCTCTTCCTGGCTTCCTCAATGATCGATAACTTGATACCCTTGCCCTTAGGAAGGGACACCCATGGCTTTGTTCCTTTTCCGATGGTAAAGACGTTACCGAGACGAGTTGCAAACTCATGCCCAGCAGCATCTTGAACATGGATAGTCTCAAAGCTACCCTTGTGTTTCTCCCTGTTCTTAATTACTCCAACTCGCCCTCTGTTCCTCCCTCCAGTGACCATGACAACATTCCCAACATCAAACTTGATGAAATCAACAATTTTGTTGCTTTCAAGATCTAGCTTGATGGTGTCATTAGCCTTGATCAAGGGATCAGGGTAACGGATAGTACGCCCATCATATGTATTTAGGTATGGGATACCTTTCTGGCCAAACTGGACGGACCGAACCTTACAGAGCTTGAACTGCAGAATGCAAATTGTTATTACAAAATGGGTGAAGTTGGAAAACTTAAGCACTTACGCACAAATGTGCTACCAAGCAGAAATAACAGTATATGAGTATTCAAACCTTGGTTTCATCACCAGTGATAGCATGGAGACGGAAACGTCCTTTGGTGTCATAAAGTAGACGGAAGTCCTCGTTTGTTTTAGGAATGGATACAACATCTAGCAGAATGTAGTAAAGCATAGTTAGGTAATATCCAAAGAGAATACTTTTAGAAAAACAGATAAAAAGGAGACGTAACATGAAATATGTAGCTTTTAAAGCTAATTAGGAACAAAACGGTGCTTAATCACAAGATATAAGCATGCATTCCATAAAACTAAAACGGAATTGTCAATCAATCAGGCTAGCGCTCACAAGGATTTGATCATAGGATCCCGATGTCATGTGAAAACAGAGTAACCAAACTGAAGTATTCCATTCAACTAAATAATTTGTATAATGAGAATACAAAATTATCAAAACCGACAAACTAAGCCCAGGAAGTAAAGAGAAAGTGGACATACCCATGAAACCAGCAGGATAGGTCTTATCAGTCCTAACCTTTCCATCAACCATAACATGCCTCTGCATGAGAATAGCAATGACTTCACTATAGGTAAGAGCATACTTCAATCGGTTTCGCAGAATAAGGATCAACGGCAAGCATTCCCTGGACTTGTGGGGACCAGACGATGGCTTGGGTGCCTACAAAGATGAAAAAAGGGAAAAAACAAGACCTTAACAGATGAATCAAGAAGGTAAAGTGTGCTAAAAAAGAGAACTAAAAGGAATAAAGTAAAACGGTAAAGTCGAAAGGAATTGAAGGGATAAAGATGATAACATACAAAAGCACCACCAAGCTTGTCAAGCATCCAATGCCTAGGGGCATTGAGCCTCTTCAAATGTTTCTTCAACCCTCTAGCCTGTAACACCACATAGAAAAAATATTGTAAATGAATCTGAAATGCACAAAAAATCAAATAGAAGAACAACGAATGTAGAGCGTGAAACTTAACTAAGGTTCCATTATATATCAAACACTAATCAAGCTATGAATTAGCTAGATCCCAGCCACTCAGACCAATGGTACCACCCAAAACACATACACCCAAATGCCCGATAATACTATAATGAACAGTGGGAATCACAGGAAACCCAGAAGTCATAAATGTTCCAAATCAATGAAGGTAGACCACTTTTCATTTGTTCATAAAGCTAGCTCAATACGTCAAACAACAGTGATTAAACAATCTAAACAGAAGAAAAAAAACATGAAATTCAAATAACTTATCAAAGAATGAAAAAGAAAGAAATGTTAAGTGAATCAAAGTTGGGAAAATCAGAAGGAACTGACCATCTTGGAGAAATGAGGCTGCTTTGCTCAAAGCCTGTGTCTTGGTGAGTTTAAAGACAAGAAACCCTAGGAACTGGACATAAATAGGGTGAGGGCATTATAGGGTTATCAATCCTAATATGAGTTGGGCTTCTACAATGAGCGAAACTATGTTTATGGGCCTTAAGGATTCAAGAATACATGAAGCCTTCAAACTTGTGACAAAAATCAATTAATTCTCTGAATTTTTTACACTCGATTAAATCTATGAACTAAAAAATTAAATCAATTAATCATGTGTGGATATGTCCGAGTGGTTAAGCCGTCTCTAATCCGGTTGATAAATATTTATCTTTCAGTATAATTTGAAAGTATGCAGGAGTAGAATAATTAAAAGCGTAACTAGACCTTGTGTTTTCATGTACTTGTATATTCACTAACCAATCAAATAAACAATTATTGAACAGAAAAAAGAAATAATCTTAACTAGTTTTCATTCTGTTCACTATTTTTACATAATTAATCCTTCTATTGTTCGTATTTTACATCTATGTATAAAAATATTAGCTTTAATTTCTCCAGCAAGAGACTTTGACTAATACATTTCCTCTCCACTCCAAGGCCAATTCATTCCCAGAATTCCCTCCAAGTCTCACCTCATATGAATTTTCTCTTCCATTCACCATTTCTTTAGCTTCCATTAATCTCTCTCTGCTCACCTTCAGACCTTCCATCGCCGTCGACGTCTCGAAATGGCGAGTTTCATTCACCTGTTCCCACTTTTGGAACCAAGCATGGGCACAGATATTAGGCCCTATGAACAGGCACTCCATTGCCATTCTTGCTTGGACCAAGTGTTTCGCGATGCCGGATTCCATCGACTCCGTAATAGCTCGGTGGTGACTCAATTGTCCATTGAAGAATGCCCCGAATCCTGGACTATCTTTCAGTTTTTCACAAGCATCTCCATCACCAAGTGTTATGATTCCCCTGTTTCTAGCCAGTAGTTGTTTCGCTACGTCGAGGAACGAGTTCACGAGCTTCTGGTTCTTGTTTTCGCCCATGTGTGGGAGTCCCACCATGCAATTGAAGGCCAACCATTCTCTGCTACCGCCTCGTTTCTTCATTCTGTCGAGCTCGTTTGCCAAATCTTCGATTCCCATCTCTTCGAGTTTCAAGTTTAGGCCGAAGGACCTAGCATGGTCGCAAAGTTGCATTTTCGTGTCGTTGAACCTCCAAGGAGAGTGACCATACCCTTCCTCTCCCCATCTTATTGATGTAAGCCTCACTGTCTTGTGTTGCATTGCCATGGCCTCGATCAACGGAGGCCATTGGATCCCCGATCCGATGTCGAAATCGACAATATGTAGCGGATTCGAATTGTTCGGCATGGCTTCGAGGATTGCTGAGTTAGCAGCAAAATGAGCAAACCTCCCGTAGGGGAATATCTGATAGAATGTCTTGAAGGCAACCTCAAAGTTCCCGGCAGACTCTTGCAGTAGATAATCCCTTTGGTTTCGAACATCTTGAGACAATAAATTGAATGCGATCCGTTCCAAAGTTTCACCGACCGGACTAGCTTTCTCGCTCACACACCGTAAGATCACCTCAGCGAGCTCGGTCTGGTTGTTCTCTTTAGCTTCTCCGTAAGCAGTGAGTAGATGAAATAGGGTCAACTGGTTATCAGTTTTCATCATGGCTTCTCCTAGGTACGGTATAGCAAGCGAAGATTGCTCGGTTTTCGTGTTGATTGACGCCTCACTAGACAGACAAGGACTCCATACATCTTGCCTTTCTTCACCAACATCATCAGTCAACATAGAATCAAGCCCCACCAAGGGGACTGAAAATTCCTCCCATGGCACTGTGACCTCAAGCTGATCACCAAAATCGTAGGCTGGATGCCGGAACATCTCATCCGAGAACATCTTATTGAAATCTGAAACGGAGGAAATTTCAGACGAATCCAATTGATCGATACTCGAATCCATCAAACCGTCGAACAGCCATGAAGGGGCTAAGTTTTCTGATTGCATCATCTTCGTGGTGATATTGTTTTTGCTTTGAGCTTTGGATGATGGGATAAAATTTGTGAGAATATATAAAATAGTAGATAGAGATGAAGGGTCATTTTGGCATATAAATAATAAACACATAATATTAATCCAAAATTCCAATCAAATTCAAGGTTCCCTGTTGGGTCGTCTACCTTACTTGGCAGCTTCTTAGAGGTTTTATTCCATGGAAATTCTTTATTTAATCCTTAATTATTTCTTTGAATTTTTTAATAAAGAGATTTAGTTACGTAAACTATTCATTCCTTTCCATGGCTTCCAGCTGAATAATTAAATTCCTTGTCATCATCAACATATAATATAAATATAAGGAAGAACAAGCAGATGAAATTACCCAAAGGTTATTTAGTAGTCAACGTGCTCTTTTCTGTCTGATTATTTAACCTAATACAAATGTTAATTAATTACATAAAAATCCATTTGGTTCAGTTCATTGAGAAATTAAAAGGCTGAAGACGGGAAATCAACTCAACAAACCACCGATTTAGAGGATGCATTAGACAAGCTGTTTGACCACCTTCGCCATAAATGCCCAATCACACGAGGATTAAGAAAACCCTCCACAAATTCAAAACCCAAATTCGTAATAATAAATGCACAGCTGCATGTACTAACCCCCCTTTCGGATCCCTGCCTTTCAAAAATAAAACTTTACCAGAACTCGAACGAAAGAAGCTTTTATAACAAGCAAAAGAGACGGACCGACCGGAATTCAGCTCATAACACCATCACACGTTGAATCATACCCTGCGTCCAACCTGCCATCTCCTTCAGCTGTTCATCGTCGGATTGGAGGCATTCACCGAATAAATTCATTATAAAATAAGCAGTCTTTAAGTATAAGTTTAATATTGGAGCCAAGAGCATTTGCCAGATCGCCCATAACAGCAACCGCGGCTTTCGTCACGCTTTCATCCCTGCAATACACGAAAAGATAAGTATTTAGACGGATAGTACCAAAGGTAAAGCATCAATGTAGTAAGGAAGACATAATAAAGAATATGAATCTACCTTTGGCTGTCTCTAGAGACCAATTCTATGAACATCAAAAGATGTTGAGCATAGGGCACCGTCACATCGGGTTTCACACTCTTGAAACCTTGAAGGGTACCGGAATAAGCTTCGAAAACACTACGTCTAAGCTGGTTTCCGTAATCCATCATCTCCTCATCGGCAGTTTCCATCTTGGCACAGATTTCGGCTGCTCCCTGCATCACTGGTAAGGCATAGGGGACATACTTCTCAAAGTGCTCTCCAATTGCGAGAGCAATGTCCCCAAAGCAATAGAATATGGGAGGCTTTACAGACCGATGAAGTTCTGAACTTTCGAGATCCTTCAAAAGATGACCCATGATCCCATCACAATAAGGCAAGATCTTGTCATCCAAGGCACGGCAGATATCACCAACAACCCCAACTGTGATTCCACAAACCTGGTATTCCTAAAAATTCTGCAATCCCATCTCAAGATACTTATAGAACTCGGGCATATACTTCTCAAACTGCGATCCAGTAGCATAAGCAAGAGCACTGATTGCAAGCATTGCTTCCTCGTGAACAGTAGAGCTACGACAACCAAATACTTTGAGGAACAGAAGCATGATCTGGTCAGCAGCCTGCAGTATGATGGGTTTGGTTTCATCTGTGCTGCTAAGTTTCTGGATGATGACCTGCAAAACACCACAAAGACAGGCTTGCAAGTCCCCTTGCTTTTCTCTATCATCTGATGACACAATCTGAATTTCCATGGTCTGACCCAACTTATTCATAATGACCGGTAATAGATGTGCTATGATGGAAGATGTTTCCACAATGTTGGAACATCTCACAACTTCATTCAAGGTTTCATAAGCCCTGAACTTGGAGTCACAACTGATTATTTCAGTGAGATATGGCGAAAGAAGAGAGGAGGTTGGTCCTGCATCCTCATGGCCTTGGACAAGGTAATAGATTGCCCCACAAACTTTCTCAGCTACATTGGGAGCATCCTTAATGCTCTCCAATTAGACAATTGGACCGGCATACACCGCTGTGAATTGCACCCATGAATTCAGTTTTTTTTTTTTTAACAATTCTCCATTGATAAATTGGTTTGATATTTAGAGAATCTTTACGTCAATTGTTTCTTTCCATGTTAGTCAGATTCCTCCGCTGAAGTCGTGAGCTTCGACTCTAAAGGAGTTGGCAAAGAGAATTTTTGTGACAACTTTATCTGCACAATAGCCAAAGATCCATCGCCCGATAAGTGCCACCATGTCCGAATGATGTTCTCGAATCAAAGATTTGAGAATTTGACAAAACGAGGGACTAGCCGCACACTGACAATTCCAAAAAATTACTGACATTTAACAAGGTGGAAGGCAAATTGGAGCTTTACTGCTTCATACCATGACCCATTGAAATTTGGGTAAGTTCTTCCTCCATCATTGCTACGTTTTTTTCGTTCAATGATTCTTCTTCATCAGATTATAGTTCCATGCAGGAATCATAAAGGTCTTCTTTCTCTTGGTCTGTGGCTATTTGTGTAATTTGACCGCCTTGTGCCTCCAGGTTGGTTGACATATTATTTACCCATGTAACAAGTTCCATAAACTTCAGGGAGAGAGTTATGGAATTTTTATGGATCTTGGTCCCTTTTTTCTTGCTTACTGCTGCTGGTCTCTCGGATGTGCATTGATCTGATGCTTTTGACGAGTTTCTTCTAGCCTTGCTCATTTATGGTCAGTGCTGTGTGGATTTCGATCTTGTTTTTCACCTTGTGGTTAATTATTTCAGTCTGTTTTCCTTTGACAAGTGGGATGACATCCACATCTGTTTATTTCTTGCTCGGGGGCTAGGATTTTTGTTTTTCCTTTCTTGATTGAACGCTTGGTATGGTGCCTTACCTGCTTGTGATTTCGGTTTAGGCATTCTTGGTGCTCCTTGGTTATGTGCCTTGGGTGCTTTCATAGTCGGATCCTTGGGTTCTGCTTCCACGCTCAGAGTATCTCTGTGACTTGCTTCTTTTTCGTTTGTGGCTTTCTCATCTCCTAGAACTGAGTGACGAAAGCCTTTTACATGGTTTACGGTGTTCGAGTTTTTATCGATGCTTGAAGGTTTGGTCAATGATCTTCTTCTCTTACTCGTTGCTACCATCCATGGGTCGTAAAGGTCATTTTCTTGTGGTACCCTATGTCGCACGGATACGGATATGGGGACGGATACGAGAAAGAAAAATGGCAACTTTAAAATTAAAGGGTATAAAGACGCATGGGTACAACATATAAAAAATTTTAAAATAATAAATAGATATAAAAAATCATAAATAAAGTTAATATTTCATAGAAAATTAAAAAATAAAATTTATAAATAATGTTGTGGAATTCGGGTTAATTTCCACCAATAATAACAAATTCACCTTGAAAATTATTATCTAGGTGACTAGTGAAAACGATTGTACTAAAAATCACCCCAAGGTAGATTCTCAGGAAAGAGGAGAGATCACAACGGTCCCTCTTAAAACCCACTTTCCTTAGATAGAACTACCAAGACAAGTAATTTTAATAGGACAATAATTAACAACAATTATACCCGACAATAGCTATTAAATAGACATAAAAGAGAACACCAAAATTTAACGAGGTTCGGCCAAAATTATGCCTATGTCCTCGAACACTACTAAAATAATATTTCACTAATAGATGAAATATTACAAAGAGAGAAAGAGTACAAATAGTCTTTAATAGTGAAGAAGACTTATATTTGTGGGATGCTAAACTAAGAATGAGGAGGGCTCTATTTATAACAAAAGAATTTCCCCTCCTCCTTATACACAACCAATGTGGGATTTTGACAAAAAACCAACAAATCTCCACCTTGGCAAATTCCACACACATCTCTCAAAAATCCAATATTCAGTAGTGTCTGCAAATTCATCTTTCAATTTGTAATAATATTGACCAAGTCTAAACAATGTTTAAACTTGATCGCAGTTACCACTTTTGTCAACATATCTGCATGATTCTTAGTGGTCCGAATCTTCTGGATTATGACTCCACCTTCTTCTAGAATCTCTCGTACAAAGTGATATCGAACATCGATGTGCTTCGTCCTTGCATGGTAAACATGGTTCTTTGCTAAATGAATAACACTCTGACTGTCACAATGCACTTTGATGTGCTTCTGTTCCATTCCCAATTCACCAAGCAACCCTTGAAGCTAAATTGCCTCCTTCACAGCCTCTGTAACTGCCATATACTCTGCCTCTGTAGTAGACAAAGCCACTGTTGACTGTAAGTTGGACTTCCAACTGACTGGTGCCTTTGTAAATGTAAACACATAACCAGTAGTTGATCGACGCTTGTCCAAATCACCTGCATAGTCTGAATCACAATACCCAACTACACACTGACCATCTTGTTTGTCCTGCTGAAAGACCAAACCAACATCTACGGTGTTCATAATATACCGCATAATCCATTTCACATCTTGCCAATGCTCCTTTCCAGGATCATGCATATACCTGCTCACAAACCCAACTGCTTGTGAAATATCGGGTCTCGTACACACCATTGCATATATCAAGCAACCAACAACACTTGCATACGGAACCTTTGACATGTATTCTCGTTCTGCATCATCCTTAGGTGACATGTATGCACCGAGCTTGAAATAAGGAGCAAGAGGTGTACTAACTGGTTTTGACTTCTCATTCATGCCAAAATGTTTTAGTACATTCCTCATATATTCTTTCTGAGACAAACAAAGCCTCTCCAATTTCTTATCCCTTGATATCTCCATGCCTAGAATCTTCTTCGCTTCACCAAGATCATTCATCTCAAACTCCCTGTTCAATTGAGTCTTTAGTTTCGCAATTTCTGTCTGACTCCTGGAAGCTATCAGTATATCATCAATATAAAGAAGAAGATAAATATAGGATTTGTCTTGTAGCTTGCGTAAATACACACAATGATCATATTTGCTTCTTGTGTACTTCTGCCC